ATTAGCATTGAACATATCAGAGAGGCTGCTAATGTTAACAGTTTGGAGACAAATGTAAAGAGGCAAGGCTGGGATGGTTTGGACGCATGCAGAGGAGGGGAAGGGGCTATGTTAGACATATAATGCTGAGGATGAGCGTCCAGGCAGGAGGAAAAGAGGTAGAACACAGAGAAGATTCATGGATGTAGTGAAGGAGGGCATGTGGAGGGTGGGTGCGACAGAAAGGGGCAATAGGGATAGGGCGAGATAGAGTCAGATGATCTGCTGTGGCGCCCCATGAAGGGAGCAGCTGAAAAAAGAGGATTTTTTTGTCCATATGTGAAGATGAATTATCAAATAACAGTGATGATACAATAAGTAACTGTATAGATGTGCACAATGCTCTTCAGTCATAAAGCTGGTATTTCCGAGCACTCAACTTGGTTTTCATTTACTTGGGTTTGACTGTGTCATAATTATCCCCCGCTAAGCCTCATGTAGCTTATAGGTTAGCACCTAGATACAAATTATGATTCACAGATTCACTTAGTGAAAATTGTTATGTTATATCTTGATAAGCATGTGGCACAAGACGGAGAAATACAAAACAAAAACTGTGTTTGCCGTGGGCTACACAAGATAAAGACCTCGTCAGGAGCCCCCACACAGCTGAGAAGGGCAGCTGTGTCTTTGTTCTGTTATTCAAGCAAGGTTTATGTTTGACTGCTAACTGACCGACATATACAGTAACGCCCTCAAACACAAACAAAACAGAACAGAACAGCTCCCAAACACTTGCAAGGGAGCTAAGGTATCGTGACTTCTACACTGAGCGCAGTTGAAAGGACAGAATCACGGTTGCCCAACACATCCCAGCCCAAAGGCCTCAAAGACTATCTTGAGACTTGTTAGTAATAATGGTTTCTTAGGTTTGCTTACTGTAAAACTGTGAAAGAGAAATATGATTCCATTTCCATTATATCTTTGTGATTATTCAACCTCTACTGTAAGCTACACAGTATTTGATGTTCTCTGTTTCAGGGGATTACTCTTTGGTTCCACAAGTGCATGAACCCTCCAATGATGTAATCAAAGCACAGAGAGGTAAGTCCTCTAATGTAAGATCTTCTGAGAAATGTGGTGTTCTGTTGATTTCATATTTATGTATCTCAGGCTTCATTTAGGCCAACATATTGTGTTGAAAGTCACAGACTTCTGCAGGCAGAGTAAATGCTAAATATACAGTTTCATGTTTATACTGAGTCACTGTTTGCGCATGTTTTCAGGGTACAACTTCAGTAAAAGGTGCCTGGTGTTTGTGCCGGGTGTTGGGAAGCCTTTCGTTGATATTTATTGGTTGGACAAAAATGGATTCTTTGAGACTAACACCTCTCACCGTGTCCACATGTTAGAACAGCGGTCAGTACCTTTTTACTCTAAATCTATTTAATTTATCTGCTTTATTGGTGAACCAGTGTTCAGAGTTAATGTTTTTTGAGACTCCTGCCTTAACATGCACAGTGCACCACATTTTGTCACATCACCTTTTAACTGTTTCATCTGATTGTCCTCAACAGTTTGCTGCCCCAAAATGGCTCCAGTAAAGGTGCGTGGTTAGAGACCTGGCTGATATTTTCTGAGCTAAGGGAGGAGGACTTCTACGTCAACTACACTTGCCGTGCGTACAGTGACAGGGGCTTTCCTGAAAGATATTTCAGTCTGCAACCAGAAGGTAAAAACAGAGTCTCCCCTAAACATGATATTTTAGTTTGTCTCTAACCTTGAGCAATCAAAGCTTTACATTTGAGAATACCACTGCATGTTCTCACAATTACTTAATCAAGTAATCTTTTCATTTAAGTGATTATCTTACACATGAATAAGAATTAGTTCATTACAATACAGTAAATTTTGCCTTCAGTGTAAATGTTTTGCCTCTTGATAGGTGTTAAACCACCAGCTAACCCAAACACATTAGCAAACTTTCTACTTAATGAACACAGTTCATAATAGCAATGCAGTCAAATTGCTGTTAGGGTCCCACAGCTGAATAAATAGCTGAATGAACTGTTCATATACAGTAATTGTTATGAC